TCGCATGGATCACTGTAGCCAGGTCATCGCGGCCGAGGAAGGGAACTAACTGCCAAATCAGCCTAAGATGATAAAATGCTGATCTGGCAGTGGCTGCCACCTGGGCCTTCATAGTTAAGGAGGGGTTCAGGAGCACTCCCAAACTCCTAACCTCCGATGCTGGCACCAAAGGCACCCCATCGAAGGTCGGGAGAGGGAGCCCCAACCCTGAACCATTCCGACTCAGGCCCAGGACCTCCGTCTTCGCTGGGTTTAATTTCAGCCGGCTCAGCCTGAGCCACCCAGCCACAGCCTGTAATTCCCGGTTCAGATCTTCTGAGTCGGAGCACGACTGGCCGCCCAATATCAGATAGAGCTGGGTGTCATCTGCATACTGATGACAACCCAGCCCATACCTCCTGGCTATCTGGGCGAGGGGGGCGCATGTAGATGTTAAAGAGCATCGGGGAAAGCACTGCCCCCTGAGGCACCCCACATTCAAGTGGGTGCCTCCGGGACTGCTGTTCCCCTATCGCCACCCTCTGTCCCTGACCTTGGAGAAAAGAGGCAAGCCATTGAAGGGCGAGCCCCTGTATCCCCACGTCGGCGAGGCGGTGGGTCAGCAACTGGTGGTCGACCATATCGAACGCGGCCGACAGATCTAACAGCACCAGTGCCGCCACACCGCCTCGATCCAGATGCCTCCGGAGGTCGTCAGTAAGGGCAACCAGCGCCGTCTCCGTCCCATGACCAGGGCGAAAGCCGGACTGGAGTGGATCCAGGACAGAAGCGCCATCCAGAAAGCTCTGAAGCTGTGTCGCCACCGCCCTCTCAATCAATTTGCCCAAATATGGCAAATTAGACACCGGCCGATAGTTCTGTTGCCTTTGCATGTGTGAGGCTTCTGTGCTGCACTTCAAATCTATTGCCAGGTTTGTGCGTTTCCTCCGATGGGCACTAGACATGCAGAACGTAGCCGCCCAAGAATCTTTTTTCCCTTTCTTTTAAAACCGAAAGCAAGGGTCTCTAGCCCTTAGAACTGCAAGAGTCGGGTTGAAAAGAGGTGGGGCGATGTCTGGTAGGGACCGAAGACAGTAGCTCTCTGGCCCTTTTTTTGCAGGGCTCAGGCTGAAATATGAAGTCCCCAAATATGAGGTTCCCTGTGTGTCTCTGCATCTGAAGGCACACATCACACTAATTCAAGTAGTAAAAATGAGAGGGGGAAACTCCAGTGGGTTATGGTTGGGATGAGCATGTGCTTATATTTGATAAAAGGGACTGGAGTGGTACCGACGTGCTGTGTTTGGTAACTCATTGTGGCAGCAGTTAGAAGGGTGGTGGGGGACTTCAAGGGGGCTGACACTGGCGTTTCCTGCTCTTTCCAGATGAGTGCAAGATGCTACTTTGGTAAGATCACGCTTTAATGAGAGATGTTGGTAGGCTCATTTTCCTTCTTTCACTACAGGTGCAGGCAGATGCTCCTTCCGAGGAAGAAGCCAGCAGCATCCAGGATGGAAATAAGCCTTAGAGTGAAGGTGGGGAGGGTTTTCCTCCCAGCTTCATGGGAACCTCAGGGAAACCAGGATATGTTGTACACCAAAGGGGTCATCTCTGTCTTCCAGAGTTTTTCCAGGACAGCATTGGGTGAGCATGAGCTCTGGAAGGATGGCTGGAATATCGCTTGTCCCTTCCACCCATCCCTTCCACACTGGAGTCTCCACAACACAATAAAGGAGGTTTTTGTATTTGCCCTTGGTCTTTGTCTGTTTTCCTTAAGCAAGTGGATGGGTGGATATGGTAGCAGTGTTTTCTTGAGAAAACCATAACTGAGTCTCAGGTACCCTCCCAGACTAACAAGGGCCCCGGTCACATGGCAAAGTTCCTGCGGGAGAGGCACGGGAGTCCCGCGGATTTTCCGGGCATGATCTCACCCCAACATCTGGGAAGCGCAGTGCTCCCGTGGTGAACCCATGGCTCCCCGCCGAAGCGGGCCAAGGGCGGGCGTCTGATTGTGTTCCCGGTGGACTTATGTGGCATCCGGTGCCTGCCACTGTTAGTCTCTGCAGGTTGCGCAACAGCGCCCAACAGCGCATGCGCACAAAGAGCGATTGCTAGTGCGATCGCGCGGTGTGGCTTCTGTGCCGTGCTGCAGGATACCCGTCTGATCGGCATTTTCCCCGAACCACGGGACCTCGACCGGGACGTGTGCTCGGGCGGCCGCACATTAGTTTCCTCCGGGGGAATTAGCCACGCCTCCCCCCCGCAATATGCGGCCCGTGTGACCAAGGTCAAGGTTTATTGGAACACCAGCTTTTGTGGACAAAGCCCACTTTGGCAGATCCATGACATGTAACCTCCATTGATGGAATATATACACTGCAGAGGGAAAGGGGGGAAATTGTGATCAATATGTGATGTCATGTGAGACAAAGCACTTCTGACCCCCTCAAGGGTTAATGTGAATGGTAACGGGCTGTTCCATTCTGCAGGTGTTGCAAATTGGTCTTTCTGCCTGCACAGGCCTTACCATCTTCAAGGCCAGAGCTGGACACGTGGTAGTTAGCTTCTCATGAGAACTTGTGGCCCATAGGATGGGAGGGGAGGAGTCAGGTAATTTTCTAGAGGGTTCCAGCAAGAATGTGTGCTGATTGGGTGTCATCATCACCTGATGCTGCTTGGCCAAAAAACTATAATTTTTGAGCCAAGAGCTTGGGAAAAGGAGGCTAGCTGGGATTCTGATGAACTGAAGGCCTGGAGTATGATATGCCTATACTGCAATAGACAGCAGCATAGAGAATGGATAAGGTATAACCTTTGACTCTTGGACTTAAGGTCTGTGCCGTCTAACACAGGTCCTGGAAATGTGTTAAATAGTTAAGGAGGTTTTCTTGTTTTTTTGCTGTGTGACTTTAGAGTGTTGTGTTGCCTGTAGATTAAACCTTTTGTTTTGAAAAACTAAATTAAACTTTATATAATTTTAAAATAAGAAAGATGCTTTTGGTTACTTGGGTACAACAGCCTTGGGAACCCATAGGGTTCAGTCGTGGACTCCTTGACATGTCACCTAGAAACTTTTTATTCCTGCTTGGCAAGAGTGCCTAGAAACTCTTGCAGTCAGGTAGGTAGTAAAACATAACTTGTATTTTATTTAAGAATCTTTATCTGCTCTTCGTCCACACTGGGGCCTCAAAGCACCTTAGATAGTAAAAGGCCACATACATTACATGCAGATTTCTTAGATGCAGGCCTCAGTTTAGCTGGCTCAGATGTTCCCCATTTGCTGCCTTTTATCAGGATGAAGCATGTTCATTTCCTTAGTATTTTGGTCCAAAGGAGATTGGGGCTCCATAAAATAATTACTAGAAGACCTAAGGGAACCAGAAACGAGTCACTTTTAAAAGTATTTACCTAGGTTTGTTTAAAGGCAGGCACACCACATCATAGTTATGAAATACATTCACTGAATCAGAAACCTTTTTTGTCATCCTCAGACATCAATAAGTAATTTTTATAGCTGAGTGTTCTGTTGTTTACCCTTCTCCAAATGCTGTTTAGAATAAAACTGTCTTGCATGCCTGCCTTCCTACACCCATTCTGCTAGGCCACTCCAACACAGAAAAAGCTTGGCTGTGATTGTAAAGACAGACCTGAGGGAGAGCACCATAAGGAATGCTACTTTTCATGGCAACAGCACAAGTCTTGACTGGAATATTAAAAGGTCCTGCCACAGGTTTTTGAATCTTGCCTTTAAAAAAACAAACGTGCAGAGTGACCTACATATTTGTGCAATGGAGTGAGCAAAAGGTGGTTGTTAATAGCTGACTGCCAAAGGATGAGCAGCAGGTGAATGAGCTGATGGGCTGGGCTGACAGTATCAGGTCTTGTGATGATGGTGCCCAAGTGGAAGTATATAGGGACAAGGTTGGCATCTGGACTTGTTGCAGAGTTAATGTCTCTGACCTGAAAGTCATCATTCATTGAAAGAGCTTCAGGGGGAGATTCCAATGAGAAACGGCTGCATTAGAATTTGTCAGTGGGTTTAATTCTATTACCCAGGCACCAGATGCAGTTGGCATGGTTTGTAGTCACTGCAAGTGTTAAATGGCTTAATGTGATTAGGTTAACGAATATCACGAATGACAGCCTTTGCCAATAATTACTGTGCTATTTGTTGTTTTACATAGAAATGACATAAGTTGCATTTTTCACCTTTGCCTCTGCTGTGCATATGTTCCAATTGCAAGGATTTCATTCATGCCTTTCATCCTCATTTAGAAAAAATGGAAGTTTTTTTGTCTGCCTTTTCTAGCACTAAGCTGCCTTGGGAGTTAACATTTGTAGGGAGGTGGGATGTACATGCTCCAGATAGTTTGCAGGTTACAGCACACATTATTTATTGCGCTTCAATAAATCTCTTAAACAGGCCACAAGAAGACTCCGTTTTTTGTTTGGCTTGCCTCACGGAAATTGTTCTTTGGAAGATCATGGAGACGGACCGTGACCTCACGATAGAGAGATAGGCTGTCCCCTTAGCTAGAGCCATCAAATTTGGTGGAGATCTTTAAGGGAAAAACCTGAAAATCTTAAAAACCCGCCATAGTTCATGATTCCTTATGATCGCTGAATGGTGTCTTTCTCAGTGCTGGCATTGCTATGAACGCCTCGCCATCTGTACTCTGGAACCAGAAGTTCCAATTACGACTTTTTGACTTTTTAAATGCATGGTTTAAAAAAAAAAAAAAATGGATCAAAGGGGAAGGTTCGTAGGGTTACCAGATCCCCCCCCCCGGGCCACCGGCAGGGGGTGGAAGACGATTTCTCATAGCAAAATGGGGCTATACCACTGCCCCCAATATAGGGGGCAGTGGCTATACACCCAGCGCGGCCTTCTGGAGAACGAGAGAAAAGGCCGGAAGCCGTCCCTTGAGCATAGAGACCGAAGGCTAGAACGCCGGAAGTGCTTTTATGTCCAGAAGGGAGACGGGGGGAAAATGCTCGCGAACCAACGGATATTATTACTCCTCCACGAGCCGGGAATAACGTGACTTCCGGGAGGAGCTAAGATGGCGAGCCGCGCGCTGCTGGTGGCGCGAGGAGCCGTTTTCGGCATTGTAGGTGGGTGGAGATGGGGCCGGTCGGGGACCCGCGAGGGGGGAGAGGGGGAACGAGAGGCGGCCCCGCTCAACCCCCCTCTCAACCCCCCCCCCCCAGCTCCCCCTGCATGGAGTCTCTCAGCCAGGGAGCGTGACCTTGGTGTCTCTCTCTCTTCATGGCTGCTGCTCCCCTCAAGTGCAGCGGGCCCTCGCAGCGTGGCTGGCGGAGTCCTTTCTGTTTGTCCCGGGACCGCCCCGCGGCGTTGCTGCAGCTTAGCGGGCGTGAGGCTGGAAGGAGAAGCGAAGCAAGCGTGCTTCCCTCCCTTTGTTCTCCCACCGGGCGCGGCTTTGCCTGCTTGGCGTCTGCAGTAGCCGCATCGAGGCGATTCTCTCTTACAGCTGCTCTTCTTCCTTTTCCTTGCCGGTGAAAGGATGTCGTTTCTACACGAGGCTCCCTTTCCCCGCACACCCTGCAGTTATCAATATTAGGTGGATGCGGGGGGCGGGGCAATCGCGCGTGCTGTATTTAACGTTAAAGTGGCTCTGCTGTTCTTTAACAGATTATTGCCCCCTCCCGACTTCCTGGTTTGGGGAGATCATAATGGGCTGTAGAGTCAATAGGGACTTGTATAGTTCGTTGAGGAGGAAAGGATGCAGTAACTTGGCCCTTTGTTTCGTGTGAGTGTTGTATTTTAAAAACTCTTTTATTGTGCGTTGCTTCTGAGGCACGTAAATAAAATATCCCACCATTCTAATCAATCGGAGGCAGTTAGCGAGCAAGGCCAATTTCAGTGACGACTCTGAAGTGCCAACTGTTTTTTTTCAACATCTACACTCCTTCCTAGTTTTCATCTAATTTAAGATGCATCCCACAAATTCTCAGCAAGAGGATTTCCAAGGTGGCTTTTAGCCTCAGAATAAAACAGTGTCTTTATCAATAAAACACTGAGTTTAGCAATAAAATTGAACAACATAAGAGCAGTCTTGCAAGATCTGGCCAGTGGCCTGCCTAGCCCAACATGCTGCTTCTTGCCATGAACAACTGGTTGACTGGGAGGACCAACAGGTAGGTCACAGAGGCTGAGGCTTTCCTCAGGTGTTAACACTGGTATTTAGAGGTTTGCTGCCTCTAAATATGGAGGCTTCCTTTGGTCACTCTGATCAGTAACCACTGATGTTGGTCTGAACTAGCAGAACAAAATTTGAGTCCAGTGGCACCTTTAAGACCAACAAAGCTAATGGATCTATTTTCCATAAATTTGCCTGTGCTTCTCAGCATCATTACTTCTTGTGGTAGCAAATTCCACAATTGGAATTCTTGAGTAAAGCGGTACTTCCTTTTTTCTGTCCCAAATCTACTGCCCATCAACTTCATTAGGTGCTCTAACTTTTTAATCATCTTGGTTGTGCTTGTCTGCCCTTTTTACTGTTCTGCAATATCCTTTTAAAGATACAGCAGCCTAAACAATCTATTCATAATGTGTATGTATACATAATGCACTGTAGAAGTGCAAGAACTGATGCAATTGTATGAAATGAAATGCCTCAACAGAGTTCTCATGTGGAATATGGAGATTCCTGCGCCTGCCAAGCAAGCAGCCATATGCTGCTGCTAATACTTATACAGCAGAATTTAAAAGTGCCAAATGACTACATAACTGTCTTCATATCCTCTTATGACTTTAACTACTATCAGAAGAACAGAGAGGACATTTATGACTAACTACTATCAGAAGAACAGAGAGGACAGAAGGGGACTGCATGTCATAGGAGTAGACCACTGTGAAAGCTCATCTTGTCTTTCTCTTGCAGGCGTACGTGGCTGTCTGCCTCGATACTTGCAGGGTGTTCTTGCCGCGGTAAGAAGGATCCTGATTTGGGGGGATGTGGGTATAAAAGGTTGTTTCAGTCCTTAGGTTTATGGAGGGGAGAAGCTAACAGGCTTTATTACGTTTGTTTGTTCTCTCTGCAGCCACTGCCCTGCCTGACCTTCCATGGACAAACTTTCCTTGTACGAGGGCTTGCAGTCGAAGCCAAGAAAGTATACGTGCGGGACAAACCACATATCAATATTGGGACCATCGGGCATGTCGACCACGGCAAGACCACATTAACAGCTGCCATCACCAAAAGTGAGAGTTTGGGGAATGGGGCCGGGGAACAGTTATTTCAGGAAGACCCTTTCTGTAAAAAGTGGACAGACCTGGGCTTCCATCCTCCTGAAAACATTTCACCCATCCATGCATCTCATAAGCCATTAAACCAGGGACAGGCAAATGAGGGCCTCCAGGTGCTTTCCATCTGGCTCCAGCATAGCCATGTCCCCAAGATATCCATACAATGTTATGGACACCATTCTTACAAGAGTAAAGGCCTTTTTCACCCTATCCTCACTTATTAGCTGCTTTCTTCCAAAATGAGCTGTGGACAGAGGGCTGTCGAGTGTCCTCTTTTGTTCAATGTGAAGAGAAGCTTTAACAGGACCTTGTCTTTATTATGCCTCTCCCCTGCTGTGTTCCAAGCTGAGACAAGAGCAAAGGGCTTCTGAACCCCTTCTCCCCCAGCATGAATGAAGAGGAAGCTGGGGGTGGGGGGCAGAGCTACTTGCTTCCTTGGAGAAGTCAAGACATGAGAAAAGGAGTGAGCGGCTGAAACAACAAAAGGAAACTTTCTGCTACACTCGATCACTATTTGCATGGGGAGAGGAGGTGTTTAGTGAGACTTACTCTCAACCCCACCCAATGCACTCATGTTGTTGCTGGCACTTTAGCTCTTGCACTGTCAAACACATTCAAACAAACAAACATGTTAAAATTCAGTTGCCTGTTGAGGGTACTTGAACCCACCTTTTTCCTGCCAGCCTTGAGAGTATCTAATTCCTGACCTTTCCCCATCCCATCTTCTCTTCCTCTCAGTTTTGGCCGAGGCAGGAGGTGCCCAGTTCAGGAAATACGAAGAGATTGATAATGCACCAGAAGAGAAAGCACGTGGGATCACAATCAATGCCTCCCACGTAGAATATGCGACAGCCAATCGCCACTATTCACACACAGATTGTCCTGGGCATGCTGATTATGTCAAGGTGGGTGTTAGGAAATGGGATCGGAGGATTATCCAGAAACTCACAAGTTCCTCATCTCTTCCTGTACTCCTAAGCCTGAAGATAGTCTGGTGTTATTTCCAACATGTATTTAAATACAGAGGTGATTGGAAGGGTTTAGTAGACATGGAATACCTCCTTTGGGTCTGGAATACATAAGGAGCTAGTTCTTCAAAGGAACTGGTGTAATAAAGCAACCAAAGTCTGCTCATCTTCTCTTTGTCCCCTATAGAATATGATCACAGGGACATCACCTCTGGATGGCTGTATCCTTGTGGTGGCCGCAACGGATGGTCAGATGCCTCAGACAAGAGAGCACCTTCTGCTTGCCAAACAGGCAAGGCTGTGATCTGGGGGTTGTGACATTTTGTGTGCTTCTTGAGAATACACGGGGTGCTTTCCTGAAGCACAGCTGGGAGTCTGAAAGGGAGGGAGGGAGCGATGGCCGTATTGGGTCTCATTTTCTCTGATCTCTCCCCTACCTGCCTCCCGCCCCCCCCTCCAAGATTGGAGTGAAACACATTGTTGTGTACATCAACAAAGCTGATGCCGTTGATGACAAAGAGATGCTGGAGCTGGTGGAGCTGGAGATCCGTGAGCTTCTCACCGAGTTTGGCTACAGTGGGGAGACGATTCCTGTCGTCATAGGCTCTGCTCTGTGCGCTTTGGAGGTAAGCAGTGTGCATTACGAGTTCTCAGTCATTATTTCAAATGAATCCTTTTCTGTGCTGTTTCTCATTCCTGTCCTTTGCAGCAGCGGAACCCGGAGTTGGGTGTGAATTCAGTAATGAAGCTGCTCGATACTGTGGACACACACATTCCCGTGCCACAGCGGGAGCTCGACAAACCTTTCCTGCTTCCCATAGAGCACACTTACTCCATACCAGGTGCTTGCCTTATTGTTTCAATATGCTGGTCCTTGTTTCAAGGGGAGATGCCATTAAACGCACGTAGGTTAGGTTTCTGTGGTAGGTGGATGGCATGACGCTCTGTAGCCCAGAGGTGTCGAACTCATTTGTTATGAGGGCCGGATCTGACATAAATGTCACTTCGTTGGGCCGGGCCATGTGTGCCATAAAATGTAACATGAGGTCCCGGGGATATAATAAAATTTATAAAGATGATTTCAGATGCTGAGTGACAATAGCAGGCTTCATTGGATTAGGTGTGATATGCAGAGAGGTAGTAGGCGTGGAGATAATCAGCATTGGTAATGAGACAGGAAACCTAGGTCTCAGTTTGATCCAGGAGGGTTTAGTCCAGGAGGATACAAAGAATAAACGGAAATAAGTCTAAAGAAGTGAGCAGTGACTCACGAAAGCTCATACCCTACTACAAATTTTGTTAGTCTTTAAGGTGCTCCTGGACTTTTCCTCTTTCTACTGCTATTAGAAACCACAACGTTCAAAAACCAGTGGGGGAACATTTTAACCTTAGAGTAACAGTTCTCTTACAAAGGAATTTCAAAGGGAGATTAGGAAGAAAGACTGCTGAATTGCAACTGATAATGAAGCTCAAGACCATGCATCTTCCTGGGCTGAACTGAGACCTAGGTTTCTTTCCTCGTAACCAATGCCTGCTATTGTCATTCGGCATCTGAAATCACTTCACTCTCCAAGATATAAGGACAGATGGACTCACATTCTAGCTTGTTAGGCCTCCCCCCCCCCCCATCTGTTAGAACTGGAAAGGGTGATCTCTCTCTCTTTCTCTGGCTCTTTCACTCCCCCTCCCTCCCTCTGAAGAAGTGTGCACGTACATGAAAATTTATACCTGGAATAAAACTTTGTTGGTCTTAAAGGTGCCATGGGACTCACTCTCTCCTCCATACTGGACTCTTGCGCCCTTCCCCTAATAAACATTGCAAGCTGTGCTGTCAGGTTCCCCTCCCCATCTGTTAGAACTGGAAAGGGGGAGTTTTCTCTGCTCTTTCACTCTGTTCCCCCTGAAGAAGTGTGCTTGCACACAAAAGCTTACACCTGGAATAAAACTTTGTTGGTCTTAAAGGTGCCTCAGCACTCCATCTCTTTCTGGCAGTTTCCCTTTCTTCCCTTCCTCTCCAAAGGAGGGGGAGGAACACTTAGCCAATCAAGAGAAGGGAGGCTTGGCTTTCTTTCCTCTGCGAAGCAGGAGAGGAGAGCTGGGCAAAAGCGAGCTGTGATGCAGGAAGCAGATGAGAGCCAGTTGTTTAACATTCCCGCTCTAGCCTATGCTTCAGACCCAGTTATTCTAACCTATTTTTCCAGGCCGGGGTACTGTGGTGTCAGGCACTCTTGAACGTGGCATTGTTAAGAAAGGAGATGAGTGTGAATTTGTGGGGCACAATCAGAACCTGCGCTCTGTGGTAACTGGTGAGTCTTGTGCACTTAATGACGTCCTGTAACCTTTTAGCCAAATCTGTGCATTCAGTTCAGTTGTCCTGATGGTGGGAGTGGTCCAAATACTCTTGCACTTCTGAGGTTGCCCTCATAAGAAAACAGTCCCCAGAGCAAGAGGTAAATGGGAGAGACGGTATAGAGTATTTACAAAGAGTAATGCTATCCTCTTGCCATCAGGTGTGGAGATGTTCCACAAACAACTGGACCGGGCAGAGGCTGGTGACAACCTGGGTGCTTTAATTCGTGGGCTGAAGCGGGAGGATGTAAGGCGGGGGATGGTCATGTGCAAGCCAGGATCTATCCAGCCACACCAGAAAGTTGAGGCTCAGGTGAGCTGGGACAGGTTGATGGGTTTTCTCTGGGAGCAATTGTGCTTGGGAATGGATGGTGTGTTTGTAGCTTTGTTGCATTATGAAGAAATGTGAGTTCTAGAATGAAAAAGAGCTGGGTGTTGGCTCTTCTGGTCACCCTGGCATGGGGGGTGGATTTGGCAGCCCAGTCCCTAAAGCATCTGTTATAACAGTCCCAGCTAAGTTAAACATGCCATTCCCTTCTCCTAGGTTTACATCTTGAGCAAAGAGGAGGGCGGTCGTCATAAGCCATTTGTTTCCAATTTCACACCCGTCATATTTTCTCTGACCTGGGACATGGCCTGCCGCTTGGAATTGCCTGCGGGGAAGGTGTGTGTTTCTTCTTGTTGTATCCCTTCTTCCACTTGCTTCCCTTAAGCCTTGCTGAAAGCTTTTATTTCAGCAAGTAGCCTCACTTGGAGAATAAGCACAACTCAGTGATCATTGGTATTGTGTTTCTTTCCTGTCTTCCACAGGAGTTAGTTATGCCAGGGGAAGACACCTCTCTAATAATGGTACTGCGAACCCCTATGGTCTTGGAGGTGGGGCAGCGATTCACAATGCGTGATGGACACAAAACCATTGGTACTGGAGTGGTTACAAAGACATTGCCAATAACTCCAGCAGATAAAGAGAAGTGGGAAAATTAGAGTTACATCCATTGTGCTTCTTTCCTCTGCGAAGCACATCCATTGTGCTTCAGGAAGCTGTTCTCACTAGTGGCTGGCGTGAAACCAGAACTAAAGACTATACGGCAATGAGGCAGGTGAAGGGCAAGGAGACAAATGTGGGCATGTTCTGAAAGAATACTTTTCATGTATTTTTAATATGGTTAATAACCACTACCCACCCACAGCCTGAAAGGTGATATTAAATGCAAATGATGTTTTGCTCAGTTCTGTTTATTTCAGAGTGGAAGACCGTTAAATAAAAGACTGTACAGCTGATCTGAAGTTCCTTTTTAAGTGGCAACAAGTGTTTTGGTGACATACTTGTCTAGGAATAAGCTTTTGCTTGTACATGTGTGTGTCAGGTCAATTGAAAGGGGGGGGGTAGGAGGGCTAGGAACTGTATTTCCATCAGCAAACCTGAGTTCCCTGCTTTGCATACAGTAGACCTCCAAGTAGTGATAAACACAGATATTATGCAAGAGGGTTGATAGAGAAAGCCACTACATATCACAGTGCACTTGTCTGAGACTTTGGCCACTTTCGCTAGCAAGGATAGTACCTAAAAAACCTGCAGGAATGTTGTTTGGAAACTACTTTGGTAATTGTTTTCTTACATGGTCATCCTCAGGAAAGTCATTTTTAATGCTATTACTGTACATAACCTTTACACAGCCCACTCTTTAGGGCTGCAGTTAATCTTATAGCGCTCCCTCATGGGAGAATATATAAACATCTCTGAAGATTTGGGACTTATTTACTTTGAAGCAAGCAAGACGAAGTCCACGTGGTGGTTCTAGCAGTGGCACAGCAGGCTGTTAATAGAGGGGGGGAAAGGCCACGCTATCACTAAATTCTCCTTGGCAAGGATCTTGTTCCAAGAGCCTCAGTTAATAAAGGCTACTTTGAGCAACCAGGAGTTCTCGAAGGGGACTCACTGTAGTTTGAGTGCTTCCAATACTGTGACACAGGGCATACTCTAGCAGCCAGTGATCTGCATCTCCATCTATTTTGTACAGTATTGCCAAATCCCCACTAAGTCAAGCCCTGAGTCATACTTTTGACAAAACCATCTGTTCGGTTCCTGTCAAAGTAAATTCTGCTACCCTTGTACTTTTTGGCCCATTCTAGTAGTTCTTCAGGCAGATGTCTATGCTAACCTCTGTAGATTATAGTGTTGCACACTAGCAGAAAGTGGGTCTTATAGGATCAGACCAGTGGTCCATCTAGTCCAGAATACTATTTCACACAATGGCGAACCAGCTGCCCTGAAGGCAAGATCAAACAGGATATCAAGGCCAAGTTCTTCCCCTCCTAGTACCGTTATTCAGCCATGGATCTTTCCTCTTTGATTCTGTCTAAACCCCTTGGTAAAGCCATTTATATTTATTGCCATCACTGTATCCAAAGGCAGTGAAATTCCAGCGTCTAACTACTTGTTGAAGTATTTCCTTTTTGTCTGTCCCAAAGTTAGGTCTCAACTACATTGGGTTCTCCCAAAGCCATGGGAATGACAAAAAGCTCCCTTTATCTACTTCATGCATGAATGATTTTATACATCTATTCTTGCTCAACCCCCTCCTTGCTATAGGCATTTGTTCACCACGATCCTATGCTCTCCAGCATAATTTATGGCATTGAATGAGGACTGTAGCTACCTTTAAAAAATAAAATGAAAACATCTGGTCTTTTATTGGTAAGCTAAGTGTAACATAGTGACTAGGAAAACAAACTGCTCCAGGTTTCTTCAGCCAGCTTTGGATACTGGTTCCCCCCCCCCCCCCCCCCCCAAAAAAAATCTGTGGTTAACTCTAGCCTATTAGGTTTCCCTTGCTCAAAAGCCAGTCGAATCCGACACTAGGGTTGTGGTGTTCATCTCCGTTTCCAAGCCAGTGCTGTCCACTGCTGGACCTCCTGAAGGCACTGGTATTTCTGGCCACTGTGTGACACAGAGTGTTGGACTGGATGGGCCTTTGGCCTGATCCAACATTGGCATCTCTTATGTTCTTATGTCCGAAGACATCTTCATGGTCATGTGGCAGGTGTGACTAGATGCCGAGGCGTATGAAACGCTGTTACCTTCCCACCAAAGTGGTATCTATTTATCTACTTGCAATTTCTTGCTTTCGAACTGCTAGGTTGGCAGGAGCTGGAACCAGACGGGAGCTCACTCCGTCTTGTGGCACTTCGGTGCTGAACTACCGACCTTCCGGTCAGCAGTTCAGCATCTTAATCACTGAGCCACCACAGCTCCTAGCCTAAGTTACAGAGCCATCCTGAGGACTGTACGTACAAATGTGAAACAGTTAAAATGCCATATAAGCACTGTACTGTTTTATAAATTATGCATGTTTGAAATAACTACAGACTTAGGAATGCAGCAGGTACAGATACCAGAAACCCACTACAGAAAAGTATTTCAAGTGGCTGCGTTCTACAGAAAGGAACTTCCACCTCACAGGCAGGGCTGCTCAAGAAAAGCCCAAGCCCTAGACTTTAGTCTGCTCCAAATCAGGCTTAATACTTTCAGGCACTGGGCTAGGGCACAAAAATGAGCTTTTAACTGCTTCAGAGTCACAACATACTATTCTCAGCCTACTACTACCCCCAATGTGAGAATTTGAAAACCGCATGAAGGGCCAGTGCTGAACTGAAGGGGGGGCACTATCACACCCTTACCTACTTCAAAACTTAATGCACCTTTCAACTTAATGTAATACGTAGATCCCAGTAACAGCAAAAAATTAAAAGTTATACTGGATCCAGCATTACTGTTGGGGAAGCAGGTTAGTCTGGCTGCAAAAATGCTTTTTCCCAACTGTCTAGCCTGCAAGATGGGCTCCCTAACCTTGATTCGGCTGATCTGGCAGTGGTGACCTGGATCCATGTCATGGTAGCATCGAAACTAGACTACTCTAATGCATTTTACATAGATCTACACTTGAAGTCCATTTGGAGACTCCACCCTATGCTCTGCCATGGCAGTTTTCCTCATCCCAGCAGGGCCTTCTGCAGTTAACTATGTTGCAAACAGTCAAACTCGATAACCACCTGTACTGCCTACGGTGGCCTGTGCCTTATGGAATCGCCTCCCTGATGAGTTCAGAAAGACTCCCGCTCTCCTGGCTTTCCACAAACTATGCAGAACGGAATTATTCAAGCGGGCTTTTTGCACAGGTAAGCAGGGCTGTACTGTAATGAAATGGTCAGAAAGTTGGGACTCGTAGAAGGGATATGGAATGTAACCTACACTACTGTATTGCTTACCTAGCACTGTTAAATATGCTCCAGTCTAGGTAGTGTCATGTTTAAAAACTCGTGGCTTGTTTCCATTGTTTTGAGATTTCTGTAGTCCAAACCCCATTGTATTTATTGTGCATCTGATGTCCCATCCTGTTGACTGTTACCATCCTCACTCTCAGTGAGAAAGGCAGGCTATAATAATAATTCAGATAGAAACTAGCATTGTTGAGCTACGCTTTGTACTTCTTTCGCATAAGCGGTCCCAGCACTGAGAACAGCAGCTTTTAAAGTTCTCATTTTCATTACCACCCCAGCTGCCACCACAGGGAGAAAAGCAACAGAGCTTCAGCCTCCAAACTAGATACAGACTCTAACGTGGGAGAACCGGGTTTGATTCCCCACTCCTCCACTTGCACCTGCTGATGTGACCTTGGGTCAGTCACAAGCTCTGGCAAAGAGCAGTTTGTGTCAGAGCTCTCTCAGCCCCACCCACCTCACAGGGTGTCTGTTGTGGGGAGGGGAAGGGAAAGGAGTTTGTAAGCTGCTCTGAGACTCCAAGTGAAGGGCGGGGTATAAATCCAATCTCTTCTTCTCTTCTTCATCATACATCAACTTGTTTCTGTCAACAGTTCTTGAAGCCTAAACAAACTCCTCTCTGGGGCACCCAATTAAACCCCTCATCCACACAGTATCGCCCAGACCTGGATAGCCCAGGCAAGCCCGATCTCATCATATCTCAGGAGCTAAGCAGGGGTGACTCTCGCAAGTACTTGGATGAGAGACCTCGTTGGAATACCAGCAGTCAGGAGGTGGAGGTAGGCTTTTATTCAGCCACTTCTCTGAATATCCTCCAGGCTCCCAAGTAGGGGTCAGTCACCAGAGGTCGCCATGACTGCCAGGTGCATATGCACACATGAAAAATACAAAAACTACCCCCCCCAAAATCTGCAGTTTTACAAAGAACGATCTGTCCCTCCCCCTCCACACAGTCACCCAAGCCCAAAATTAGTTAGTTTAAAATTTTATTGGTTTTTTTTTAACTTTTTAAATATTTTTACTTAATAAAAAGTCAAGGTTTGTCCATCTGGTCATGTCCTTGTCAAGTTAATGTGGGAAAGTGGCATTTGCTCTAAGAGCCTGAATGGAGTCATAAATAACAGAAAAGAAACCCTGCCCTTCTCCGGGCAAGGGGAAGGGGCCCTGCTCCGTCCCGCTGGCTGACAGCGCCCCATGCGGGCTTCACTAAACCAACGGAAAGGAAGGTGCTTGGCGAGGGGGGGGTCCGGACCGGGCCAGACTGCACCCCTCCAGGGGCCTCTGCCGTGGGCATGAGGGCTGGCCCAGGCATGGGGCCAGCAACTGAGCCAAGGCTGGCTGGGGTCTCAGGTCACGGGGAGAAGGGTGGACATCAGTTCCCAGGGGGGTGGAATGGAAGCTGCTGGGAAGGATGAGACTGAACTGGAAAGAGAAGAAAGAGTCAGTGAGGTGAAGGAAGGCACAGACCGTCCAGAATCACCAGTCCTATCCAGATCTCAGAACCCCAGCAAGCCCCATAACACCTCCCACTCGTGGCCAAGACCCAAGGCTCTTCCCTACTCATCAAAAGTAGCAGAGAGCATTATCCAACTGAGCCCACTTCCCTCCCTGGACTCACCTTGGTGGTGCCCTATATAAGTGTATGGGGAGGGCGTGGAGGCTGAGAGAGTGGGCACACCGCTCTGGGGCACGCCTCCCTGGGGAGGCCCACCATGGGTCTGTGAGGGATGCAGCAGCATGACCTGGGGAGCTCCAGGATGAGGGGGTGGGGCAGCTGCAATTCCAGTCTGGACGTGGGCCTGTGGAAAAATATAAAGCATTTCAGCCCATCTGCAGGTCAGTATTTCACATTAAGAGGGAAAGACCTTGGCATTTCGACAACTGCATAAAAGCCAACAGATGCGGCAGCAACCCAAATCCTCGAAATGCTGGGAGATGATACTCATTTGGTAGCTGGTTTAGTTGGTGGAGCTACAGTCTCAAGCTAAAGGTAAAGGTACCCTTGCTCGAAA